CAGGACGGTGATGGAGGAGGGGGGGGCGCCCGTGACAGGGTGCCCGTAGGAGGCCTGGGGAAGTGCCCCTTGTAGAAAGAGGCCCTTGGAAATGTCGCACAGCTTCGCATGCTTCCGAAGTCTGAAAATCCTTCTAGCACGATGCCGAGCCTTCGACCTCCTCGAACGGATCTCTTGTACAGCGCGCCTGGCACCAGCAGCGGTGCCACACCCGAGATCGACAGCACGCTGAACTCGGGGGAAAGGGAGCCCGACCTCTTGAAGGTCGACCTCCAGCACGCGTCCGAGGGAGGGCGAGGCTGTGATCAACTTCGTATTGTCCGAAATCGGCAGCCCACCCACCCCCCAGAGACGGCGCCAATTGAGCGCGCGCCGCCCGCAACTGCTGTCTGACAGACAACTCGGTGCCTTCGCACCTGACGACCGTGTCGCCCACAAAAGTCCAGAGCCCAACTGGTGGGGCCCTAGGGGCATTCGCACTGGAATGCACAGTTTGCAAAATCGGCCCGAGGAAGACCTTGGGAAGTTTGACCCCGTGCGCCGAGCCCGCAACGATGGACCGCTCAGGAGCTGCACTTCGAGCAGGGTGACCACTGTTGGGAAGCCCTGCTCATTAGAGACCTTCATGAGCCGTAACAGACTGACGCTGTCGTAGAATTTCTCAATGTCGGGCAAAAGAGAAGCCGACAGGAAACCCAGCGACACCGCCGATCCGTCCATCACAGTTCTGACGATCGCCGCCCTGAGGGCGCTACTCTTCCTCGCCGCGGTGCCCCAATGCTCCCCGAGGCTCTCAGACCACTGGTCGGTGAAGGTTGCCCGAGCGCGGGGCCACATGCCAGCCGCCGTCGGCAGGAGCCCGATCACCTTGTCGCCTCTTGAGGGCTTGGGGATCGTGCAGCACACGGTGAGAAGAAGCTGGCGTGGCCAGCTGCCAAGGCGCTCAGCGGCGTTGCGCACGTCCGCGAAGCCCTGGCGCCCCAGCCCTGGCAGCCTCTGGATGTCCAGCGGCGAGAGGACATCGGCGCCCTTGGCCTTGGCGCCCGACGATGCTGTCCACCTGCTCCACTTCCAGCGGCGCGAGCGGCTGCTGCAGCGCCTCCTGCCAGAGAAAGATCATACCCTGGAGGAGGTCGGGACGCGTCCCTGCAGGATCTTGCCAGCGCGGCAAACAGCAGGCCGACCTGTCGGCAAGAAGGCCTGCTGGGTCGGCCGCGGCCTCAGGGGCGGCGGCCTCAGCCTCGACGTGGCGGTGGACCGCCCCTGGGCGCTTCTTCCAGCAGTCCTGAGCCCAGCGCGCGAAGGCCTGGCCAGTCGCGGCGAGGCTGCGCGAGAAGGCCCGCTGCACCAGCACGTGCGCGCGCTCGACCGCGGCGCACAGCTCGTGGGGCTCGGCCGCGTTACTCGTGCTGGAGTGGACCGCCGCCGTCCAAGCCTCCACGTCCGCAATGTCCATGCGCTTCCCGAAGATGACGTCCTTGGGCTGACTCTCGCCCTGCTCCATCATCCTCTCGATGGTGGTGACGGTGGTGCCTGCGCAGCGTCAGCAGCCTCGTGAGTAGAGTGTCCAGCGTCCACCGCCGTTCAACTGCAGGCGCCCTCATGTGCGCCCTGCCTGGGGACGGCTTCGTCCTAGCCCACGTGAGGCCTGGAACTTCAGCACGCCGTGAACATGATCTGCGCGCGGTGCCATCCGCGCCCTCGACCTGGAGCACCGTCTCCTCGAGCGTGCTCACCCAGCGTCCGTAGAGGTCGGTGACCATGTCAACACCAGAGCCCGCGGGGACAGCCCATGCCTCGCCGGCGCGCGGTGGAGCACGCGGCTTGCTCGCGACAACACCAGCCGCCTGCTCCCAGGCATCGGGGGGGATGTGGAAGGCCACCTTCACCTCCGAGGCCTGCGAGCTGGTCACCTCCTCGTCCTCGGCGAGGTCGTCGAAGGTGGCCCGCAGGTTCGGGTCGAGGTCCTCCCTGCGCCGTCGCCTGTGCTCCAGCATCCTGCGAGCCCTCTTGCTGCCCTCCTGCGGCAGTCTGCGAGGGCGTTCGCGGGGCGGGAGCGCCCCCGGCACCGCCAGGACCCGGTGCCACCACTGCTCGTGACCGCATGCGATGCGGAGGAGGCCGAGCAGGGGGAGGAGGAGGAGGAGGAGGAGGAGGAGGAGGAGGAGGAGGAGGAGGAGGAGGAGGAGGAGGCCCAGCTCCAGGCCAACGCGCGTCTCCCAGGGCACCTGCAGGCAGGCGCGGAGCTGCAGGAAGGCCTCGAAGCCACGCTTGGCCACGGCGTAGTCGATGAGAGACGAGCCCGAAGCCGAGGAGCAAGTGACGTCCACGCCGGGCTTGACAATGATGCCGTCCGCCAGCTGCATGAACTGGGAGGCCTGTAGATGCTGCGTGCTGAGGTTCCCATCGCCGATGATGACCCACGGGTCGGCAAGCGTCTTGACGAAACGACCGACAGACCGTAGGCGCTCTACGTTGGTGCCCCCCAGCTTATCCCCAGGGAAAAAGTACACCGTCACGACTACCAGGCTGCCCCTCTGAAGGTGCAAGGTGGCCGCCTGGAAGCCCCTGCACTGCGATGCCCCAAGCATGCGCCCCCAGGAGGTGGCTGCCAGGTGCTTTAGGGCGAAGATGGCCTCACCGCCTCTGCAGCCCGAAGCGGACTTGACTGGCGGCGCAGCTGGGGTGCTCATGGCGCGCCACCCGTCCTCGGCAACCTCCGTGCGGATGCCCTGCGCTTCCGCTGCCGCCCGGTGCACCTCGACGAAGCACACCGCACTGCGCTGACGCCCTTGAGCCCGCAAGAATCCGAGAGACTTCGGGCCCCATTCCGTGGCATTGCCGAAAATACAGTCGGGGCCCTGAAGAAGGAACCCTTTTCGTTGGGGAGGGGCTCCGCGTTCCTTAAGTGTTTCACAGCTTGCCTCAGGCTTTCCTTATGTTTTCGACAGGAAGTCGAAGGTTAACTTATGGAAAAAGGGGCCTCGTTCCTTATTTGGGGTTCCTTAGGTCAAGGCCCCGACTGTATTGCCGAAAATACTGTAGCGCGCCTTTGTGGGCGGGGCCAGTGCCATACACTTCGCCTCCAGTAGCACCAACGCCGAGGGCCGCCGTCGTAGCGCTTCACCGCGGTGTCCAGAGGAGTTCGTGAACCCGATCCCGCGCCACCACGTGCCGGACCATCGGACTGACAACGGGGCGACGCTGACAGATCGTCCTGGCGTGGGATGGGGGCGGTCGGCACGCCCGCCACCATCCTCCGAGGAGTGGGCACGACAGCGCGGGTTCTACCCCGCCGCCCCCCTGGGAGACGCAGGGAGTATTCGTCCTCCCCCTCTCCCCCGCCGTGGCGAGCGGTGGTTGGGCTCCTGAGTGGGCTCGAGGTGGAGGTGCCTCTTCGTGATCCGCGGTCCCGCGCGCGACGGGCTCGTCGTCCAAGAGAAAGTCGATGTCTGCGAATACGTCAGCCTCCTCAATGTCCAGCCCCGCTATCCGCGAGCCGTGGACGGCATCGGCCACCCGCCCGTCGGCGGCGTCCGCGGCGAGCTGGGTGCAGCGGGAGGCTTCGACCACCCGCGCGTCCGCGGCAGCCCGCTCGCACCCAACGGCGCCCTCTCCATCGCGGGCAGAGGCGTCTCCTTCTCCCCGCGCTCGCTGCGGGCAGCGGCTCTGCCACGTCATGTTGACCGAGGGCTGGGCGAGATCCATGGAGTCAAGCGCAGCAGCCTCGGACCTTCTCGCGGGGCCAGGATCGGGGGCCCCGCGAGAAGGTCCGAGGCTGCTGCGGCAGGAGGAGGAAGAGGAGGAGGAGGACGACGACTACGAGGAGGCGGAGGAGGAGGAGGGGGAGAGGGTGGAGGAGATCGAGGAGGAGGATGAGGAGGAGGAGGAGGAGGAGGAGGGGGAGGAGGAGGAGGAGGGGTCTCGTCTCCTCAGGACGCAGTGGCCCCCGCCGCTGCGGCAGGCGCCGTGGCGGGGGCCTGGGCCTGCGCCACGGCGCCTGCGGGCTCGCACCCAGTCGCGTCGCCGCCCGCGTGGACGGTCGGCGTGGCGGAGGCAGCCGCCTCGGCCGCGGCCGCCGCGCCGCCTGCCCCAGGGGCAGCGGCAGGCGTGACAGCTGCTGCACCAGCGCCTCCACGCCGCTTCTTGCCCACGCGTTCCGCGTGCTCGAGGAGGAGGAGGGGGAGGGGGAGGAGGAGGAGGAGGAGGAGGAGGAGGAGGAGGAGGAGGAGGAGGACTAGGCGGAGGGGAGGAGGAGGAGGAGGAGGAGGAGGAGGAGGAGGAGGAGGGGGGAGGCGGAGGAGGACGAGGAGAAGGAGTAGGCGGAGGATGAGGAGGAGCAGGAGGAGGAGGAGGAGGAGGAGGAGGAGGAGGAGAAGGAGGACGGGGGGGGAGGAGGAGGAGGATGAGGATGAGGAGGAGGAGGAGGAGGAGGAGGAGGAGGTCCGTAGCCATTTTGGCTCAAGGGGCCTGCTCCTGAACTTCCCAACCTCGCTCAAGGGGTTCACCGTTTTTTCCGCTTTGGTCAGGGTCGCCTAGGCCCACGCGCGCAGGCCTCAGAAGTCTGCAATCCGTCTGTCTCCCTGTTGTGCGGCATGGCAGGGAAAGGTGCTCGGGATGGGAAGTCGGCGACTGGAGTCATATGCCCTTCGTGCGGGTGCAGGAAGAACCCAGTTCACTTCTCGTTCTGCTACCACTGCAAAGGTCCTCTTCCCCAGCTATATTATATTCCGCCTCCTCCACCTGTGTGGGTGCGCGACCCGTGGGTGTTCACTGGTGGCTACGGAGCAGGTGGCAAAGGTGGAGGTGGTAAAGGAGGACAAGGAGTAGGTGGCAAAGGTGGAGCAGGTGGTGGCAAACATCGTTCATGGAAAGGCAAAGGTCTTGGAGGATTCGGAGGAGGTGGGGCTGGGGGTGGAGGCGGTCGTCCGTCGGCGCCAGATCCCAGCCTCAAGCCGCAGGCAAGTGATGCCCTTGATGAGCTTCATCGGCTGGCACAGATGGCCACCAACGGCCGTCTCAAGGACATCCTCCCCGCCAATGCCAAGGCCGCGCTTTCTGCTGCCTATGATGATGCCCGTCAGAGTCGTCAGCAGCAGGTTCCCTCTTCTAAGGTCCTTTTCAAAGCTGAGCAAGCCCAGAAGCAGCGCGAGAAAAATATTGAGCGCCTTCGAGAGCAAGCTACTAGCATCCAGGAGCAGCTTGATGAATTGGAGGCCAAAAGATATCAATCGACGATTCCATTGTTGCAGAGTTGGAGGCCTTGGAGCGTGACAAGAAAGCGGCAGTTGAGAGAATTGCCACTGTTGTTCCGCCCAGTATGGAAGCTTTTGGCCAGCAAATGGATGAGTTTAAGAATGCACTTGCAGGAGTTGGAGCTGATGCTATTCGCACGGGTCTTGAGAGCAAGTATGCTACACTTCGCGGGCAGTTTGATGCGCTGTTCCCCAATCCAGCAGCCCCATCTTCACCGCCCCGTCAGGCTGGCACCGTCATCATGGAGGCCGACGAAGCTGATATGACAGATGCGGTTGATAGAGTCGCTGGCCTGGGCGCCGAGAAAAAACGCGAGCTGTTCGAGGCGCTCAAGAGTGCGGCCAAGAAGCCCCGCTTCAGGAGCCCAGGACCAGGAGGGCGCCCGAATGCTGGAGCAACGGCTGGCTTTGCGTTTGCCCATCCTCAGGCCTCTTGGGAAGGATCTGGCGAGGCCGAAGGCGACCGAGACAATCTTTAGCCTAGCTGAAGCGACTTCGGCGCCAACAGTACCAGATGGAGTTTATCCTCACCAAGTTCTCTCACCATGGGTCAGCTGGGTCAGCCATCTCTGCCCTCTGTCACCGATGACCCCTGAGTCAAGTACTCTGCCCACGGTTACTCAGCCGAGTCCGTGGGCACCATGGGCCGACCCCAGTCTGGGATGGTCCGACTGCCCCTCGGCCACGGGCCTCGGAGAGGGTGTTAGTCCATGTGCGAGCGCTTCCGTGTCGACGTCAGGCCCGCCGGCAAGTGGTAGCGCTGTGCCCCCCAGTTCGACGTGGTGCTCGTCGGCTACTCCGAGTGGGCCGATTGCTGGGTTGTCTCGAGCTCAGGCGACTGCAGATCCTCTGAGCCCATATGGTTTGGGTGGTATCAGCCTTGGTTCAGAGGAGCGTCTCAGGAGTTTGGGCGGAAGTTCGACGACGACGATTGCCCCCAGGACATCAGCGACCAGCAGTGCTCCTGCTTCTTTGACGGCTGCGATTTCCACGAGTGGATCAGCGACTTTCTCGGCTGGGTCTTCTGCGTTGAGGTTGGCGGCCACGTGTGTTGGGTCATCCAGGCCGACTGGTTCATCGTTGTGTGCTGGCTCGGCGTTATCTTCCTCTTCCTCGCAGTTTGCTGCACCAGGTATCGAAAATATGTTGCTAGGACAAAGCTTGGGTTCTGATATTCGTCGTGATGCAGCTGGGCACTTGAAAACTGCCCCCGGTGGCGCGCGCTGCTCGCCCTTGGCCGAAAGGCAGTGGGGGGTTGAGGGTACCGACCACCTGGGGAGTCAGAACGCACCTGCCGACAAACCGGATACGCAAAAGCGACGCCGACGCAAACATGGACCAGATCTGCATTTCTTAACATTCAATGGAACAAGTTGGAAGCAGGAGCCACAGGACTCTAATGATATGGAGACTATTGTCCGGGGAGGAACTAGTTTCAACGACCTTATGAGGAACACCAAGGCTGATATCATATTCCTTCAAGAACATCGGTTGAATTCCACCCTGCTCACCAAGACAAAGGCACGCCTTCAACGAGCTAAGTGGCGTGTTCATGGGTGCCTGCGTATTCAAACTGAAGCTGGCAATGAGAGTGGTGGGGCCATGATTGTTAGCAAGAATCACCTTGACGTCTGGACTCCGCCAGGGTCAGATACCACCATATATGCTGGGCCCGCTGCTAGGTGCTATCTGCGTAGTGGTGGTTTTGGCCTGGTTGCTTTGTACTCTGTGTACCTGGAAGATTCCATCGGCATGAAAGGAGTCAATTTATCCGTGATGAACGCAGTATGGAGTGATATCGTTGATCGTGGATTACCATTCATTATTGCTCGCGGTTTCAGTGTTTCTCCTTCCGAGTTTAGTACGGGATCTCCTCTGTCGAAAGTTGGTGGAGTTATCCGTGCTCCGGCTGATGCAACGCATGTTGGATCTGAAGGCAGTTCTATTATTGATTTCTATGTGGTCAGGGGGGTTTCAGATCATCACTCGTACTGTTCTGACTGATCTGAGTGGATCGTACAGCCCCCATCGACCTGCCACTCTTAGTGTGAAGCAAAAATGCCAGGATATTCAAGTGCAAGTTCCATGTAGTTATCAGCATATTTCAGCTGAACGCGGCATGGGCCCTGCACCTCCTCCTCCCAACTACCAGGACCTCGTTGATAGGCTCAACAGCTTCTTGGGCCCCCTCAAGGACTCAGATGGGACCTCCTATATGGCACACGGAGACCTCCGACGGCAACGGGTTGAAGTTCTTGGGGAAGTCTACTCTGTATGGGCGTCTAGGGCCTGGGAGGAACGCCAAAAAAGTTACCCAGTTAGTTCAAAGGGGCCCGAGAGCTTCAAGGTGGCACCCCGATGGTGTTCAAGTCGACCTCCGTGGGAACCTTCTTGGCCACGAAATCTACCACGAGTGCGTTCCCAGGGCGAGCGATCCAGTGGGTCTACCTTCGGCGCAAGGAACTTCGGAGGCTCTATGAGGACCCTAAGGGAAAGGAGGCGTACCGTGACCGTCTCGTTCGGGAATGGGGCGAGCTTCGACAAGCTGGAGGGCCGTTCAGGCGATTCTGGCAAGCCGGGTGCGATTTCTGGCATCCGCTCTTGGCTTCCACTGCTGACAAGCTGAATTCAGGGACAAAACCAGTTGCCCTTGGGATTCTGGACCATCTCCTGGACTTCGCCGCTGTTTTCTCGAAGACAGCTCACCGCGAAGATCGATCTCGGGCCCGCGAGGCTTGGAAGGAGTGGAGTGGAGAAGCTGTCAGCAATGGAGGTAGGCAGGCTTTCTCATACCTCAGGGCTGGAGAGCCAGTGCTGGACGAGGTCAGCCCAGTGCCTCGGAGTTTCTCTAGTGCACTTCCTGCCCGTCTCAGCGAGCAAGTTGATATTTGGAGTAAGGCCTGGCATGTTGGAGGTGATCAACAGCCGCTTCTGCCCCCAGCCATCAATATTCCTGTCCCTGCCCCAGTTTCTGCAGCAGGGCTTCAGCATATCAGTTCTCGGTTTGCTAAGGTTACGTGTGCTCCCAATGGTGTCCATCCCAGGCTTTCCTCGATTTTACCTCTGGAATCTTTGGAAGTGGTCTCATTATTGCATCACCTCATGGACACTGTGGGCCAAGCCCCCCTCAGCTCCAGCAACTCGTCGTGTTCTTGATGGGGGGGGGGGGGGGGGGGGGGCAGATAAGGGGTGGCGCCCGATAGGCCACTACAATGGATTCGAGAGGCTCCATGGCAAGACTCACCGAGGACCCTGCAGATCTTGGGAAGATGCTTCAGGAGCGGGACCTGAGTTCTCCATGGGGCAGGGCCGCAGCAGTTTGGACGCCGTCTGGAGGCAGTCTGTTAGGTCAGAGTTGGCTACAGGAACCAACTTGTCGTACGCCACGCCCCTGTGGGACTTGCTCCAATTCTACGAGCATATAGGACATCAAGAGCTTGTGCAACGAGGGCTATTGCGCGATGTTCCGCTCCATGTTCTAATATATACGGTATCGACTTACCGTTGGCAGAGGTTTCTTCTTCTGGATGGGGCCTACTCTCAAGGGCTGACCCCGACAGCTGGAATTGTTGCTGGCAGTACCTCGGCCACGTACGAGGCAAAGGCATTTATGCATTCAACTATATGCCAAGGTCGTGATGTGCCTTCCACAGGGCAAGGACGACATGTTTATGATAGTTCTCTTCACTCGTGGCATGAATGTCCAACTACATGCATTGCGAACCTTAAAGCTCTTGCGACGACCTTGGCACATCATATCTCCCAGAACTTGAGGGTCTCCATAGCTGAGAAGAAAATGTACGCGGCGGCCAACAGTAGTGGACTTCTCAAGGACCTCAAAGATTCTCTAGGGCCTCTTTCAGGTAAGTGCTCGTGGGCCCCTGGCAACCTCAGGGTTCCCTTCACTGCAGGGAGGTATCATATGGTTCCCATGGCCAGGGCCATCAAGCTCCAGAGGGTTAAGAAGTTCTCCCATAGGCTCGCGAAGTTAGGCACCCTCAAGGCACCCAAGAAAATAAAAAGTCTAGGCTTTTCAAGGCGGTGGTATTTTCTACAGTTTCATATGGCATGGAAGTGCAAGGGTTAACACCTACTCAGATTCTTCATGTCCGTCGAGCTGCTGGTCGGATGGCTGGCGCATCCAAGAAAGGCTGTAACATGGACCTCATGTGGGCCCTCGCTGGGAAGAAAGGGGACCCGTTGTATCTTGCAGCTGGAGCCCTCAGGCGCTACGCGTGGGAATGGTGGCATGCCAGTGAACCTTCTCAGCATGGCCGCTCGCGACATCGCGATGCCCTGACCCCAGGCGAATTAAGTAAAAGTTTCAATGGCGCAGTAGCCGTTCTGAAGACTACTGAGCGGAAGCCGTGGTTGCATCGGACCCGTGGGCCTATCTCGGCCCTTCTTCTCTGGCTGGAAGTCGGCGGTTGGCACTGGGAAGGGCCGGCTACGTTTGCGAGCCAGTCGGGATTCAAGTGGATCTTGACGGAAAGGCCACCGTCACAACTTGCAGATGCTTTTACTAGTGATTTGAGGAAGGAGTTGCTTAAGCGATATGTCCACAAACATTTGTCGGACAGCCCTGGAGACTGTGAAATCAAAACTAGGGGCTTGTGGCTCCCCCTCGTTCAGAGGTCTGCGAAATCCTTAACCCCTCAGCAGTTACATGTCTACTGCCAAGTTTTGTCAGGCACTGTTCCGACTGGGGCCCCCATGAAACATTGGGGGCATGAAGTTTCGGACAAGTGCTCGCGCGGTCGTGTAGATGCAAGCTGGCACCGGTGCTGGACCTGCAGCAACCCTGAAGCTGCACGCGTTCGGCAGGAGCACTTCAGCCAGGAGGTGATCGACCAGGCCATTGCTGCAGGGCCCGGCAATTCGCTGCTTTCAAAACTGTGGGTCCCGTGGCCCGATTTGCCCAGTCCTGCGGAGGACTGGAAGCTTCAGTTTTTCGATGAAAACGGTGACTCATGTCCCCCCTTCTTCTGTCAACCGTCTGCCGCGACACCACCCCAGAGTTTTGCGAGCCTGTAAATGTGGACTGCGCTAGCCTGTTTGCGGGAACACGGTATCCCAGCGAGGCCCTTGATGGGGCCAGCCGTCTGAGTTCCTTTTGGCGCGGGTTAGCTCGGAAGATAACTGCGTGTCCTGAGCAAGGCTGGCCCCGCCTCAATAAGATCAGGGCTCATCGAAGCTGATAGAGCCACGATTGCTGGATCGAATGCTGCCGACTCCTGGGCGAAGAGGGGTTCTCAGGCACATGACCTCAGCCCAGGTGAATTAGACGATTTCAAGCAGGGCGAGGATGAGTACACGTCGCTCGCCATAGGTTTGATTT